CGACCCAGATTCGATGTTCTCGTCAATGTTGCGACGAGTCATCGAAACGGAGAGAGGACTGTCCGGGGTGACAGAGTCTGGCATAGCGGTCAGAGCATCGAATGTGTAGCAGAAAATGACTAGCAATGACCATCAGACAAGGAGAAGGAGGAGGAGGAGGAGCAAGAGTAGGAGCAGGAGAAGTGGGAGGAGAAAGGGAGAAGAGGAAGAGGAGGAGAAGGAGAAGACAAACGACAAGAAGAAGGGGAAAAGAAAGAGGGAGAGGAAGAGAGGAGGAGAGGAGAGAAGAAGTAACGACAAAAGAGGGGAGGAAGAGGAGGATAGAAGGGGGAGAGGAGGAGGGAGAAGGGGGAGGAGAGGGGAGGAGAAGGGTCTTACTTCTTGCGAGTACAGGTTCGCGTAGTCGTCCCGATCGGAATAGAGTCCTAACGTATCGGACAGCGCTTCAGATCACTGAAAATAAATCAGAATCGGCGATAATTTACAATAATATAAAATAATCAGAAAGAATCATAATAAGCGTCAACGCGAAGATGTACACCATGGACTCCGTCTTTTGGGATATTCATGGCAGTTGCAAACAAAATAATAATTATAAACGAACTAAAATTCAGTAAATCCAAACGTGTATAACAGGCACCAACTGGACACGCCGAAATCGCTACGGAACACGCGGCTGTTCTACAAGGGTGTCATCTAACACGCGGCTGTTCTACAAGGGTGTCATCTAACACGGGTTTCATCGTGACACGGTAATTGAAATTGGAGAAATGAAAGAAGTAACCAAACAAGTTAGAGAAACAACATAAAATGACTAAAGATGAAACGGCAGATGGAAGGCAGGCAGATGGAAGGCAGGCAGACGGAAGGCAGGCAGACGGAAGGCAGGCAGACGGAAGGCAGGCAGATGGAAGGCAGGCAGACGGAAGGCAGGCAGATGGAAGGCAGGCAACGAAAGGCAGGGCAGACGGAAGGCAGGCAGAAGGAACGCAGGCAGACAGAAGAGGCAAACGAAGGCAGGCAAACGAAAGCGCAGGCAGGCAGAAGGAAGGCAGGCAGATGGAAGGCAGGCAGACGGAAGGCAGGCAGATGGAGGCAGGCAGACGGAAGGCAGCAGATGAAAGGCAGGCAAACGAAAAGCAGGCAGACGAGGTGGAGAAAGAGTGGAAAGGGAGAGAGAGGTGGAGAAAGAGTGGAAAGGGAGAGTGCGGTGGAGAAAGAGTGGAAAGGGAGAGTGCGGTGGAGAAAGAGTGGAAAGGGAGAGAGAGGTGGAGAAAGCGTGGAAAGGGAGAGAGAGGTGGAGAAAGCGTGGAAAGGGAGAGAGAGGTGGAGAAAGAGTGGAAAGGGAGAGTGCGGTGGAGAAAGAGTGGAAAGGGAGAGAGAGGTGGAGAAAGAATGGAAACGGAGAGAGAGAGGAGCGTGGGAGAGGAAAAATGAAGATAGTGAGTCGGTGTGTGTGGGTGTGCGTGCGTGCGTGCGTGCGTGCGTGTGTGTGTGCGTGTGTGCGCGCGTGGGTGCGTCCGTGCGTGGGTGGGTATTTGCGTGGGAGAGATCCTCTGAGCTACAAGGGTACCGGGTACATTCGTAGTTTACATTGTATTCATAAGTTAATAACACCTTATAAGTTCCCGCATTATTCGTTAGCAGCGGTATTACTGCCCGGCATAATCAACACGTTGTTGTAATATATATATTGCGTGAAATCTTCAAATAAATTATGATTAATTTATATACCTTGTTTTAAAACAATCTAGTTTTGTTTTGTTGATGTTTATATAGGTATAAAATTAAGGGCATAAAAAAAGATAACCTAGAATAGGGGTTGTATTTGTCTATATAGCAGTCATTTAGACATAATTATATGCATATTTTATATAAACAATGGGCCGCACCAATATTCTACCAGCAACAAGCACATTTTCTTCTTAAGAAAATAAAACCTATTTAAGAACCTAAATAGCCTAATTTCCCAGTAAACACCAATTATATAAGAACCTTTTTAGGCTAACTTGGAAAAATGCAGGTTCTTACTGTATTAACTATATACGCCATATTTCTTGTTTGCGTGTGTAATCGCGTTTTTTACGATTGCTATGCGACAAGAATCTTTTTCCCTCTTAGAATTCGAATTAGAAATCAGAATTCCTACCAGCAGTGCGGTGATGAACGACGAAGTACAGTTCATGTGGATACTGCGAGCACACATCATTTCCAAGTCGCGTCGCTTGATAGAGTGTCTTGCGAGTCTTGGGGAGTTTTCTTGCCTGTAAACCGACATACATTTCCATCAGAAACCTATATTATGCAGTCTATATTCAGTTCATATTGCACGCCTGAAACGGTGCTCGCGCATGCGCAATATCTCCCAAAAGGAATAATATTTTTCAAAGATTATGCATTTAATCTGAAGAGGAAGTATACTAGCATAGATTTTTATGATAAAATTCCATCAGTAACTGCTGCTGCCATTGCTGCTGCTGTTGCTGCTGCTGCTACTCTTCCTGCTGCTGCTGCTGCTGCTCTTGCTGCTGCTGCTATTGCTGCTGCTGCTGCTGCTGTTGCTGCTGCTGCTGCTGTTACTGCTGTTGCTGCTGTTACTGCTGTTGCTGCTGCTACTGCTGCTGCTGTTACTGTTGCTGTTGCTGCTGCTGCTGCTGCTGCTGCTGTCACCGCTGCCGTGCTCACCGCCGGTTCTCTCCGCTTTATTTTTACAGTACAGCGACAATAAGAGCTACTGTGAGGATCTCACTGAGGGCAAGTTCTCCTTCCCCATCATCCACGCGATACGGAGCCGGCCCGAGGACAATCAGATCATGAGTATCCTTATCTCGCTCGCGGGTCTGTTTCCCAGAAAGCAAGGAAGAGGAGTAAGAGGAAGATGAGGGAGAGTAGTAGTTGTAGTAGCAGTAGTAGTAGGAGGAGGAGGAGGGGGAGAAAGAGGTGGAGGCGGAGGAAGAGGAGTAAGAGGAAGATGAGGGAGAGTAGTAGTTGTAGTAGCAGTAGTAGGAGGAGGAGGAGGAGGGAGAGGAGGCAGAGGGGAGAAAGAGGTGGAGGCGGAGGAAGACGAGTAAGAGGAAGATGAGGGAGAGTAGTAGTTGTAGTAGCAGTAGTAGTAGGAGGAGGAGGAGGGGGAGAAAGAGGTGGAGGCGGAGGAAGAGGAGTAAGAGGAAGATGAGGGAGAGTAGTAGTTGTAGTAGCAGTAGTAGTAGGAGGAGGAGGAGGAGG